AGGAGTCCTGACCCCCAGCCCCACCTCCCTAAGACTCAGGAGTCCAGGTCCCCAGCCCCCTCCTCCCTCAGACCCTGGGCTCTGGCTGACAGCTGTCTCGTGCCCCTGCAGTGTCCTTTCCCTCGAAGCTCATGTGCGCAGACGTCAGCCTTATCTCCCAAAAGGACTGCAGCAAGGTTTACAAGGACCTGCTTGGCAAGTCGATGTTGTGCGCTGGCATCCCTGATTCCAAGAAGAACGCATGCAATGTGAGACTCCCTTCCTCCCAGGGCACAGCCCAGTCTTCCTGTCCAGTCAAACCCTGGCTGGGACTCTGGGCTCCACACTGGTCCAGAGCCTTCCCACCCCTCTCCCCACCCTTCCAAACCCAGCTCTCTTAACTCTCTCTACCTCATTCTCAGCATAGGGCAGCCCCATTTAGGGGCTGGTGTGGCGTTGTGGGTTAATGCGCCAGACGGCAAAGCCGTTTGAACTGCAAGGTCAGCAGTTCAAGCTCACCAGCTTCTCCTCGGAAACCCTATACAGGGTCGCTATGGGTCGGAATCGACTCGATGGCACTTAACAACAACAACAACATGGCTCTAGTGTGGCACTAGGGGTTAACGCGCTAGACTACAAGGTCAGTTTGAACCTTAAGGTCTGCGGTTCAAGTTCGCCAGTCGCTCCTTGGAAATCTTATTCAGGGTCGTTATGAGTCGGAACACACTGGAAGGCACGTAACAGCATGGCTCTGGAGAGGAACATTGGTGGCCCTGTGGGTTAGGTATGGGGCTGATAACGGCAAGGTCAGAAATTTAAACCCACCAGCTGCTCCTTGGGAGAAAGTTGTAACAGTTACCTTAAAGATTTCCAGGGGAAACCCTATACATGCTCACTATGAGTCGAATGAGGAGCTCTGGTAGCGTAGTGGGTACGAATCGGGCTGCGAACCTTAAGGTCAGCGGTTCGAAACTACCAGCCGCTCCGCGGGAGAAAGATGAGGCTTTCTACTCCCGTAAGGATTTACACCTTCGGAAACCCTGTACAGGGTCGCTATGGGTCGGAACCGACTCGACGGCACTTAACAACAACAACAACAACAATGAGTCGAATGACTCAGTGGCTGTGAGTAAGTGAGTGAGTGAGGCAGAAGTTTAATAAGTGGGAGTGGCCGCAGAAAAGTTACTAGACTCTGCCCCCTCTCGCTGCATCACTGATTTCCTGTCTCAGCCTAGGATGAGGCGAGGGAGACACTTGTCTCAGGAGACACCTGTCTCAGGAGCATTTAAGGGTTTCCCAACTATGTCATTGAAATAAATCACACTCCAACACAATTCTTTAAAAAGTGAAGGCAAAAATTCCTCCATGAACAGAATATCACATTTTTAAATAAAGATCGGACCAGTCTGAATTTTCCTTTTGCCTCAGACTCCGATATGACTCAGCACACTGCTGTACCCAATCTTGTCTTTACTTAAAATTTGGATATTTTGTTCTTCATAGACTTTTTTCTGCATTAATATTTGATTTTTAATAATCTTGCCGTAAAACATATTTATTGTGGTTTCTGAGTGTTTTGGCATGCACTGAACATTTTTATGCCAGGCCTCACTCGCTTCACCTTAATCCTGGTTCTGAGAAAAGATCTGGCTCCACCATCTTGTATATTTCCATCACCTTGTGTGTTTCCGCCACCTTGTATATTTCCTCCACCTTGTATATTTCCTCCACCTTGTATATTTCCTCCACCTTGTATATTTCCTCCAGCTTGTGTGTTTCCTCCACCTTGTATATTTCCGCCACCTTGTGTGTTTCCTCCACCTTGTATATTTCCGCCACCTTGTGTGTTTCCTCCACCTTGTATATTTCCACCACCTTGTGTGTTTCTTCCAGCTTGTATATTTCCACTTCCTTGCCTTTGCTATCCCTCCGCCCCCTTTCTGGGTCTTTAAACATCTCAGGTCTCTATGCCAATTTTTATTTCCTTCCTTGCCTTTCCATTTCCTCTGTGTTTGTGTTTTTCACCCTATGCTCCACTTTCCTTTATTTCTGATTCTTCCTACCCGGTATTTCTACTTCTGTACCCGCCTCCTTCTCCAAGGTGTGGCGCTGCAGGACATTGCATTGGACCGCAAGGTCATTTGAACCGCCAGGTCGGCAGTTCGAACCCATCAGTTGCTTCTTGGAAACCTTATACAGTGTCGCTGTGAATCAGACCTGACTTGACAGTACTATACAACAACAACAACAACAACAATAACACTTTCTTCATTGGTAGCATGGTGGCTCTGTAGAATAAGCAGTGGACTGAGAATCACAGGTCTGAGGTTCGAGCCCAGCAGCCTCTCTGCAGAAAAAAGATGAGCCTTTCTTCTCCCAAGAAAATCTCAGAAACACTAAACATGGTTGCTATGAGTAGGAACAGACTCCACAGCACTTAACAGTAACAACCCTCCTCCTGTAAACCTTTACAGGAGCACATCACCAGATCTTTTCTCTCACAGAGCTGCTTTGTTGTTGTTGTTAAGTGCCGTTGAGTTGTTTCTGAATCATAGTGACCCTGTCTAGGGATTCTGAGGAGCGGCTGGTGGGTTGAACCACAGACCTTTCCTTTCAAACTGACCTGTGGTCCATGCATTATCCTATGCCACACCAGGACTCCTGGTGAATCCAAATTTTTATAGCCTAGGAACCCCTATCCCACCAGCCACTCCTGGGAAACCCTATACAGGGTCGATATAAATCGCAAGTAACTTTTTGGCACTTAACAACAATAACAACAGGAAACCCTATGGGGCAGTTCCACTTTGTCATATAGGGTTGTTGCGAGTCAGAATTGATTCAACAGCACACAACAGCCTCCTTCCTAAGGTGTTCTTTGGGTGGTGTAAATGGTTAAACAGTTGACTACTAACTAAAAAGTTGGTGATTTGAACCAACCCAAGGCATCCCGGTATAGTGATGCAAGATAATACACTGGACCACAAGGTTGATTTGAACTGCAAAGTCAATGGTTTAAACCCACCAAGTTGCTCCTCAGAAACCCTACACAGGGTCACTATGAGTCAGAAGTGACTGGATCACACTTACAACAAAGGTCCCTTGGAAGACAGGCTTAGTGAGCTGCTTGCAAAAAGTTACAACTTTAAAGGCCCTATGGAGTGCAGGCTCTGCACGCATGGGGTCACCATGTGTTGGAATTAGCAGATAGCAGGTAACTATAACACAGTCCTCGTCCTCCTTCCCATTTCGTGTCTCCTTGACCTTCTGTCCACTCTCCTTTCCCTTTTTCTACCACTCTTGCCCTCTCTCTCTCTCTCTCTCTCTCTCTCCATAATTTCACTTTCTTTCCTCATATTCACACAACCAGGACAGGTGCAATGGTGTGTATTGAAGAAGGAGGTGCCCATATGGGAGTGTGTGTCCTAGAGAACAGGGGTTAGGGGTGTAAACTCCTTCTCCCTTAATCAGGGTTGACTTCACAAATGTACAAGGTCCCACTTGAGAAGGGCTTATGCTTGATTTAATGCTCTCCTGTCGCCCTCTTGAAATTCTTAATCAAGAGACTCCCCAGTATCCTCTAGCACCAGGTCCTGAAAACGGTGCAGATAATTGGTCTTGCTCTTGGTTTCCAGGGCTACCTCATCCCCATTTCATGCCCAAGGTGCATGAAATTCGAGAGGGCCTTCAAAAAGTTCATGGGAAAATGGAATGAAAAAATAATGGAATTTTCCCACAAACTTTTTGAAGCCCCTTCGTGGAAATCCTCCTGAAGATACTTCTTCTCTGACTGGCATGGAGTGGAATCCTTAATATTAGAAAATAAATTATACTCTGATTCCTGGAAGCTCTACCCTCTGTTCTGTAGTTTATTCCATTGGCTACAGCTCAGTCCAATGGCATCCAAGAATACTTCATCATTTGACTGACAGTATTAATTATGCCCTCTCATTGGCCACTATAGTATTGAATCTCTTCCCATTGGCTAGAATGGCAATGTACAGTCCAGTAGGACAAAGAGTGTTAACTGGGGGAGTAAATGACACTGAAATGGGAGGTGGGTTTGATTTGAAATTGTTGCTAAGTTCTCATTCTCTCTCCACTCTAGGGTGACTCAGGGGGACCACTGATGTGCAAAGGGGTCCTGCAAGGCCTGGTGTCCTGGGGAACATTCCCTTGTGGCCAACCCAACGACCCAGGTGTCTACACCCAAGTCTGCAAGTATGTCCCGTGGATACGGCAGACCATGAAAAATAATTGATAAAACTTAAATAACCATTTGATGTGGGAAATGAGGGTGTCAAGAGTATTTGACTTTCCCTTTCCTCAACAAAATGCCATGCTTTAAACCAATCAAATTAATTGCCAAGGCAATTAAAGAAACACAAAATCCCCCAATGCTGGTGAAGTTGCAGCGAAATCAGCACACTGGAACTATAAAGTCATACAGTCTTTAAGGAATGCTGCTTGGCAACATGATCAAGACCCTCGTTTGACACTTTCGACAAATCTTAGCTTTGAAATGGCACTACAAAAAGTACCCAAGATGTGGAGCAAGATTCGATTTCCTCACAACATTATTCATCTGAAGAAAAAAACGAAAAGGCTGAATATGTTTCAAATGAGTGGGTTGTTGAAATAAACAGGCCAGCTTAAGAGAACATTACAGTGCTATCAAAAATAATACTTACATGGAATTGTTAGTGGAATGCAAAAACAGGTAACATCAAATGAGGAAAGAAAGATGGGCAAATAAATATTAAATGAAAAAATATACAAAAATAGATGTAGATGTGATTCTCTCTGTTGTTGCTAAATGCTGTCGAGTAGGTTCCAACTCATAATGACCCTGTATAGAGTCTCCAAGGAGTGATTGGTGAGTGTGTTTAGCAGTCCCATGTTTATCCCACAGTGCCACACTAAGACTCCTGTAAAGTTAAATATTCACAGAATTGAATCTGAAAAGGCATGAATAAAATTGTATCTGGTGGTAGTCATGGAATCGTTCCTTTTGTATACTTTACTGTTTTTCTATAACCTGAAAAAAAGGGGGAAAGCTCTGTAGATCAAAGGTTGGTGGTACAGAGATCATAAGGAGGGAGTCTGTAAGAAAAAAGCACAAGCAGGAATCAAAAAGTCTTGTTATTAGGGTTCCAGTTCACCCATACATGGGTTTATTCCAAATAAAACGTGTTTCAACATGGATGGCTACAGACAAATTCTCTCAGTAATACATTTGTCTCATTAGGTCACCTTCAAATAAAAAGTCCCATTAATATGTTGTTGTCAAGTACCATCGAGTTGATACCGACTCATAGCAACCCTATGCACAACAGAATGAAACACTGCCTGATCCTGGGCCAACCTCACAATTGTTACCACACTTGAGTCCATCCATGCTTCTATTTTGTCAATCCACCTCGCTGGGGGTCTTCTTCTTTTTCTCTGACCCTCCACCTTACCAAACATGATATCCTTCTCCAGTGACTGGTCCCATTAATATAGAAGCCTCAAATAAAGGTCCCAATAGATTCTAAGGGGATCTAATGGGCCAGTTCAAATCAATGCAGGGAGGTTAGCACAGAAGGTTATGGCGGCTGTTTTTTTTGGAATCCCATGAGGCCATCTTGATTTATTTTCTTGAAGGATATAGGACAATCACAGGGGTGTATTAAGATTTTTTTTAAATGTTTTATTGTGAATTATGTGATAGTTTACATGGGAGAACATTAGCTTTACATTCATTCTATTTCATATCGTTTCATTGCCATGGTTACAATCCCCTCCATGCATCATCAACCAACCAACCTTGCAAGCCTGCCCCCTGGTCGTCAGCACACAGCCCCTCTCCCTCTCTGGGTCTACAGTCCCTAGCCGCTTCATCTCTCCATGTCATCATCT